AAAATGAAATCGGTAGAGAAAGAAACTCCGATGACATCCATATATGGCTTGATGCATTCAGTGTGTTTGGGATTTGTACTACGACGAGCTCGACGAATACAAAGATCAATTCGTGATTCAATAATTTAGGATCCAATAAACATAAATTAAAATTAGAAGGAATAAAGTGACGACGAGACGTTTGGGAATTGAGATTACGAGTTGCTAGGAGTGTGGGTGGAAGTGAACGATCTGATCTTGTTTCCCTTAGTCCTTATTTGACATTTTACATGAGGATAAATTGGTAATTAAATTTTTTAATAAAGAATGGGTGTAGAAATAAGACAGAGGGGTGGTAATAGTAGCACTCTAAAAAAATAGTTTAATTATTTGATTGTTTAGAAAGCCAGGTCTTAGTAAATTTATTCATTCCAAACCAAAAATCACAACACCAATATGTAATTAATTTTAAATATTTACTCCTCTTATTGTATAGATAAATATTTCATTTTTCGGTTTTTTTTTAAAACCTTTTTTTTGTTCAACTTCATTTTTCGGTTAAAAAAAAAAGTTTAATTATTTGATTGTTCAGAAGGGTAGGTCTTAGTAAATTTATTCATTGCAAACCAAAAATCACAACAGCAATACGAAATGTGTAGTGATTTATTCCTCCTTTTTTTTTTTTTGGGACAAAGTGATTTATTCATTAGTTAAAGAAAAAGTGAGGCTGATTAACATTAATTAGTGCAGAGGACGATGATCTTCCTACATGCTTAATTTCATTGGGCTCCGACGCATTCGCCATAAGTATCATAAGTTTGAGGCCACTTGGAATACATTTAATTTGCCAAGTTAAGCGCCTCATTAGCTGGAGGAGGGTCTTTGGGGCCTTCAACGCATTCACAATTTCCATGAGCACAAAATTTGATGTCACCAGGCGGACACTGAACTGCGAATTCACAATCGACATCTCGCCAACATTTGGTGTCGACAACAACTTCTCCTACTGCCGTTGCCGAGTCATCAGCTGGAGGAGGTCTTTTCGGGCCTTCAACGCACTCACATTTTCCATGAACACAAAATTTGATGTTGCTTGGCGGGCAATGAACTGCGAAGTCACAACTGCTTCTTCTACTGCCGTCGAGTCATCAGCCTTTGTCCCAATATTTGCTTCCACTTCTGCAGATACTCCTAATAACAATCCTGATGCACCTGAAATATATATATATATATATATATATATATATATAAACATCATGAAAATATATTAATCAAAAGAATTAATATCAAAAAGAAACTAATAAGAGAGAGAGAGACTCACAGATGGCAATACTGAAAATCTAGACAACGAAACCCATTTTGAAAGAAGCAACAATTAGGATTTAGGGTTTATATAAATACGACGAGGAATGTGAAATTTGGTTTTTGTTGTGAGCTTCTCAACTGAGTCCCTCAACATTTTATAGTGGATCAAATGACTCCATTTATGGTTTAAAAATGAAAAGATGGGAAGATATTAATTAATTTTAAGAAATGCAGTTTGCTCCTTTTATTATTGGTCAAAAGAAATGTATCCCATCATTCCCATTAGTAAAAGTACATTACAAGCAGAGAAATTATTAGGTGATACCGTAGCATCAGTTGACAATGCTGAGTGGTGGTATTGATCCGCTAGAAATTTGACACCTATATAATTAAAACAAATTGGTGTCTGCCGTTAAAGGCTTAAAGCCCAATTACATAGTAAAGACGGTGTTGAATTTTTCTGGCAATGGTCAAGACCGAAGAGGCCGGCATAACGATCGCTAAGTCCTCCATTCTTTATACCTGCAATTTGTGTTCATCAATACATAATTTTGACAATGAAGACCATTCCGACAGACATGGCCACTGCCACAATAGATTTCAATTTTGTGAGCACCCCTTGAAGATGGGAGAAATCTAAACCTAGCTAGCTAATTGAAGATGGTGGTGGAGGGAGTTAGGTCATCTCCAACTGAAGGGTCCAGAGGGTCAGAGGGCCGAAAATAACCCAAAAACTGTCTCTAACTGAGGACTAGGCCAAATGGCTCGTGGAATCTGAGAGGGCCCCCCACAGAATCTAAAAGCGCTAGAGGGTTGGCCAGAAAAAATTTCCTATAACTTCTATTTCACAAAATTTGTTTCATTTTATTTTAAATTCTATTTTTTTCCTATAACTTCCTAAGCCATTATACAACATTAAATTAAATTAAGTAGCATGAAACAACATTAAACAATATGAAACAACATTAAATAACATTAACCAACATACAAATTATACAACATAAAAAAAACATTTAACAACATGAAACTTAAACGATATTTTTTAAAACATTTAACAACATAAAACTTAAACGCCTACCCCATGCTTCTTTTGGTCCAAAGATGTGCAACAAGATCATGTTGTAGGTACTTGTTTGTGGCATGAGAACGTATCATTCTATAGTACCTCATGTACTCATTTATAGAGATAATACCAGTTCTTGGATTGAAAGGAAAATTAGGCCCATCATATATTTTTGCACGAGCCCTTCTTGACCTATTTGGATCTTCTTGGTCGTCATCGGACTTTCGATTAATATACCCATCTCGCTTATCCTCCACTATCATATTGTGTAATATGATGCAAGACATCATGATGGAGTCCAAATTTTCTCGACTCCACCCTCTTGCTGGTTCGCTAATGATTTTTCAATGGCTAACTGACGTCAACTAGCCGTTGGTAGCTGACATCATGCTGACGTCACTTAGCCGTTAGATTTGAATTTAAGTTGTAGTTTTTAAATAATAAATTATGTTTGGCCCTATGGTCCTCGGTTAGAGACGGTTTTTTGTGACAGGGCTAAAACGAGCCCTATGGCCCTCGGTTGGAGACGGAAGCAAACATGGCCCTGCATTGTTCATTAAAATATTAATTTCTTGGAGGGCCAGAGGGCTAAAACGAGCCCTTTGGCCAGCCTTCGGTTGAAGATGGCCTTACTGGAAGCCAACAAATCGCTTGAAAGTTTGGGTGCTCAGCACTTGTTGTAATCATCCATTGAATATAAAGGAAAACTAATGAAAACAGTTTGAAAATTTTGAGATTTAACGATAAGGACAAAATAAAAAGGTAAAGTAAATAGTACCATAATTGGCTTTTTAGTGTAAAAATATGATTTTTCGTTAAAGTAAATAGTATCGGGAGCTATTTGTTAAAGTTCTCTGAATATAATTGACGAAATCAATTTCTAATTTTTTTGTTCTTTTGATTTGGTTTGGTATTAGAGCCTTTAGGGCTCCATAACTTTTCTTGATCTACTTTCCTAATTAACCAACAAGCTTTCATTGCAACACCGCTCCATTGTTCTTGATCCAATACCTGAGTAGTGGTGCAACCAATTCAACCCTAAACCCTAATTTAGCCTCTGGACCTTCTTTGTATTCGCGTGTTTGCTTGAATCCGGTAGGAGGATTTGGGCGTTGACGGCAGAAGCCGAATTGTTTTAACCATACACGTGTCAAATTTCTAGTAGATTAGCACCACCACTCATCGCTGCCAGTTGGTGCTACAGAATAACCTAATAATTTCTCTTACTAAGTGCATGTATTTTTCATAAATTTTTACAGTTAATGCTAGAGAAAAACATTGTTAGACTAAATTTATAAATTAAATGATGTGTCAATAATAAGAAATGAGCACGTTAATTAACAATTAAATAATAATCCAATTATCAACTTTCATGTTATTTTGTTTACAAAAATTTGATCTAAAAATTTAATTTCCTTAGCATTACCCAATTTCCATTATATTCTTTGAACCGGCCTAATTATTTTGGTTAGAAATATTTCCTGGTATTACAATATAATTTAATTTTACTTGGTACAACACAAAACAAATAATTTTATTTGATCATAATTCTTGGGCTTTTTAAATTAGGAGCCCACTTTTCTATCTCGACATTGCAAAAGAGTTTAATATATTTTATGGTAGTTAACTATCAACAGATCAGAGTGGCGCAGCGGAAGCGTGGTGGGCCCATAACCCACAGGTCCCAGGATCGAAACCTGGCTCTGATATAGTAGTGGCTTCCGGTGGCGTTCTATTTTTCGACTATTTTTTTTCCTTCCATCCCAAAAGCACTTTCGTACATTATCTTCTGCCTTTTTAAGTAGGGCCTTTTTGGATTTTTCTCTCTTTCCCAGAAGCACTTTTGTACTTATCTTCTGGTTCTGTATTTATCCTCGAGGAGAAGCACTTTTAGTCAAACTTCATACATCATAAACAGATTATGAGAAACACATGATCGCGTTTGGTTTGCATGTATTTTTAAAATGATTGAAATTGTTTTTAAAGAAAATATTTTTGGGTTTCAAAAACACTTAAAGAGTTTTTCCAGGATTTACTTGCATGCTTAATAAAAATTAGTTCTAAAAACATTTTCAACAAAAACGCTTTCGATCATTTTAAAAACACATCAAAACGAGCAATCTGTAAATACAATTTTTGCTTATAAGGCTTTTTCCTGTAGTTTTTCTTTTGGCTTTAAGTTCATGTCAAGATTCTTGATAAAAAAAATGTTCATGTAAAGATTCCTCTCTCTCGATCGTTTATATATATAAGGCTTTTTAGTTAGAATGATCCTTAAAATTTGCATAACTCCTCATTCGGGTTACTGAGATTTGAAATTGATAGAATTGGTCCCTGAGTTTGTCCACAATTAATCATTTTGGTCTTTCTGTGAAAAGTTTTCATAAAATAAGGACAAAATGATAAAAATACCCTCAACTTTTGTCAAATCATTTTGGTCTATTGTTTATTATATTGAGGGTAGTTTTGTCATTTGGATTCTTATTTAACATACTTTTTCACTAAAGGACCAGAATGATTAATGCTGGACAATCTCAGGAATCACTTTTATTAATTTCAAATCTCACAGATTAAATTAAAGAGTTAGACAAATCCCAATAACCTTTTGGCTAAAAAGCTTATATTATAAACACGAGTAGGCCAACGAGCCTACAACTGCTTTCTCAGCCATTCCTCTTAGCTATCTCTTTCGTCTTCTTCCTCCTCTCCTCTCAGTTCTCCTGTTCCTTCTCTCATGGCAGCAACAACATCATCAAGTACTTCTGCAGAAGCACTTCCCAATCTAAGAATCGTAGTAGAAAGCAACCCTTCCAATTCACGATTATCTGAGTTGGGTATTAACTCATGGCCCAAGTAAGTAATGTTAATTTCTCTTAGCTCTCTCATAGCGAGATCATCAGTTGTAAAGTTCGTTTATCTTCCTGAACATTTGCTTTAACAAAAACAATAACCTAAACTACTCTAACACGGGGAGAGGTCTAACCACATATGTTGTTTTTCATGATCATTTGATATTACAATATATGTTTCCTAGCTTGTCCGTCTCTCTGAAGTCTTGACACGCTTAATTAATTTGCCAGATATACTTTTGAACATTGGTTCTTAAAGTATTTTAGCTGGCTAGTACATCAGGATAGAGATTCAAACTCGTGTCCGAATTGAGGACCGGCCACTCAAACATGGCCGGTCTAACCACATATGTTGTTTTCATGACCATTTAGTTGATCCGTCCTTTTGAAATCTTGGCAATTAATTTGTTAGCTATACTTTCGAACTCGAGATTCTGAATGGAGATATTAATTTGTGTAATCAGATGGGGATGTCCACCGGGGAAGTACACATTGAAGTTTGATGCAGCAGAGACATGTTATCTGTTGAAAGGCAAGGTGAAGGTTTACCCTAGAAAAGGCTCGTCGTCATCTGATGAGGAGTTTGTAGAGTTTGGTGCTGGAGACCTTGTGACCATTCCCAAGGGACTCAGTTGCACATGGGACGTCTCAGTTGCTATTGATAAACACTACAAATTCGATTCTTCATGATCATATCATCTTCATCATCTTAACTAATTAACTAATTAAGCTATCTTCCATTAATTCCTGTAGCTTCTAGTTAATTTGCTTCTAGTTTATGTTTAAACATGAAGGGCCTGTAATTAAGCAAAAATTCTACAATGCACCGAAGCACTAAACGGTTAAATTAATATGGGTGGATTTTGAGTTTCTTAACGTTCAAATACTAGTGCATTTCATACACCAAAGTGTTGTAAAAAATCCGTAATTAATTAAGTTCTTGAATCCAAGATAGGAAAAAGGGATTAATGCAGTAGTTCTACTTTTGTTAATGCAAAGTGATCTTACTCCCTATGCGGATGAGATTATGATTTTATGGAGGTGCTTTTTTTGTTCTTTTTATTGGGCTGGTTTGGTATTGCTGTGCTTTGAAAAAAAAAACTATTTTTGCTGTGCTGTGAGAATAAGCAGCTGTGAAATAAAGCAGCAGAGTGTTTGGTAAACTTTTTTGTAAAAGTGCTTTGGAAAGAAAAAAAGCAGTATTATAGTGTTTGGTAAACTTTTATGTAAAACAGATGTGGCAAAGAGCCGATTTTTCAAAGCTGAGTTTTGCAGCTTCTTGTTTTTGGCTTTTTTTCATCCAAAACTGTGAAAAAAAGCTGAAGCTGAATGTTTACCAAACACAAAAACAACTCCTAGTTTTTTTTAGAATCACCTCAGTACCAAAGCAGGCCATTGACTGATCAGCTTATTTTTTAGGTTGTTGACTGAAAAAGCTTACTTTTAAGAGATCTTTCAGTGTGTTAGGAACACGGTCTTTGTACAGTAAGTGTCGTAATACAAATAATTTGATCCTTAAAGAGAAATTTCAATTGCTTGTATTATGATACTTGGTACACCTAGCTGTATTACTGGTACACTGAATTTTATTTTCTATTTTTAAATTGGATTTTTAACATGCAATACAATATTGCAGAAAAGCCTCCTTTTTGTAACTTTGAGCACGTGAAACCATATTTAAAATTTTCAGAGATCTCGGAACTTTTTTGACAATGTAGACATACAAATAATACAACAACAAATTAACAATACAATGCAAGCAAAAACAGATTTTTTTTGCTTTCAGTTGCTCTCACCCAAAATGCACACGATTCCAAATGTTACATGTGTTTTTGTCATCAGACTTTTGGCCAGGGAGTTTAATGAGTCAAATGGAAGAGTTGAGTTGGACGAGAGAATATTTTGATAGGGTTTCTGAGGGAAAGCATCATGTGTTTGTCCTCTTTGCTTCTTTTTCATCACTCCAGTGTGAATGTGACTAGAATATTTGATCATATCATACGCATGATGTCTTTTTATATCTTGTTTTCCTTTTCCCAGTTCTGCATGCTTTCGATGCCTTGACCATTTACGGTACTCCAAAAAGAACAATCTTTTCAATTTTTGTGCAGTTCTTAATATGCACGTTCATATTTTTACTAAAATCCAAGTGCTTTTTAGGAAGCACTTCTGAAAAAAGCGCAAACTTATAAGCGCTTTGGTTGGTAGAAAACACTTTTGGCCCTTCATGAAGCAATCCGGAACACTCACTAAATTATGAATCTTTGCAGTGCTATACTAAATTAAGGAGAAAATAATGTTAAGAACTCTTCAATTCCCATTTCCTTTTTCTGTTGTTTGTTTAACGTAGTATTGATTTTATGTGATATGGTGGTCTTCGAATTTCCGTTGATGATATCGATTGATTGTTGTGGTTATGTAGAGACCCACTGTGGAAGTAACCGATCACAAGGCCCATGGTTCCATTCCAGAGCCTGGATCAGTTGTCCTTGCTAGAGTAAGGGATCATCAACAAGATCATTGCATAACATAGCTCACTTTCTCCAATCATGAAGCAGATTGTTGGACTGATTCGTGTATGTAAATCTTGCCGACGTTTCTTTCATCATAGCAGGTTACCAAAGTGATGGAAAGGATGGCTTCAGCTGATATTATGTGTCTTGGCACGAAGTCTGAGCGGTATATGCAGTATTCCCCTTGAATAATGACTACATAGGCGTTGCATTTATCTCGTGCATATTCGGTTGTAGCTTGTCTAGTGAAGTTAGTTGCTGTTCTGTTTCGTTTTCAAAACGTCATTTGGTTTATAAGCTGTTTCTATCAACAGGCTTCAAGATGTAAGAGCCACCGAAATTGACAAAGTAGATATGCTTTCGTCTTTTCGCCAGGGTGACATTGTGAGAGCTCATGTTGTATCCTTTATGTGTGGAATGCCCCCGTTAGTACTAGGTTAAAAACATTGTCATGCAGATAAGATAGTTGTTAGCAGAGATGACGCCTTTCCGTTGCAGATAATTTTTTTTTTTTGGGGTGAACTTCGGTGATATGTTTAATACTACGTCAATTGTGCTTGATATTCATATTGCAGTGATTAGTTACGGAAACTGTTTCCTTGATTCTTTCAGTAAGCTGTCGCTTGGAGACGCTAAGGCTTATTATCTGTCAACCGCAAAGAATGAACTGGGCGTTATTTCTGCAGAGTGAAGCAGCAGCAGCAGCAGGTATATATATTTTCTGCTAGTGTTCACTGAATTTTTTGTTAGTGTTCACTGAATTTTTTGCTAGTGGTATAATCTTTTGACGCATATAAATGATTCATTTACAAATAGCGTTTCATCCTCATTTCATATGTGCATCGGCGTTTCACAAGTAACACTATCAAATCCACATGATGTGAACTCGGATGTGATTCTCTCTTTGTTCATCGTAGGTGAAATGATGGTGGCAAGAAGCTGGACAGAGATGCAGTGCCCCGGGACAGGGCAAATCAAGCATAGAAAGGTCGCTGAGGTCGGAGGATGAAAAGATGAACAGAGAATTAATGTGTTGTCTTCTTTCTTCTCCTTTCGTTCCTTTTTCGAAAGCGTGTAACCTTAGAGTTTCTTATAGATGGTGCTCAGGGAAATAGGTTAAAGTCAGAAGTTATGGTAGTCTGATATAAGATTTTGTAACTCCGTCGACTCCCCCATGCACCTCTATGTGAAGGTTTTACAAACTAGCAGTCCCCTGTTTACGGGGTCGCTTGCGTTTAACTACTTTGAAAAATTGTGCAAGAGACTGCGGTTTCTTGTTGAGTTGAGTTGTACTTGTATATGCTGCATATATTCATCCTATTCCAATATCATCATTCATTCATTTGAGTTAAGAGCTCACGAAAAAACTTGAGATTAAATTAAAATGTTTCATATAAAAGGCTAAGAATCCACCACACCAACGCGGGGTTTCGAAAATTACAAAGATTGATTCGGCATTGCATTTCCCTTATACCATGGAGATTGTATCCTCTTCACTGTCCGTGTCATCAACCGGATCTTGCATCGGCATCTCTTGGGGACAGAAGAAAGGCTTCGGAGGCATCTGCAAGGCTTCGACTTCACCTTCAAGCATCTCTACGACTTTGCTCATGGAAGGGCGATCCGCCGGCTTCAGTTGTATGCACCACAATGCAACCATGATCATCTTCTTGGCTACTTTCTTATCATTCTCACAGGCATCAACAATTTCAACACTCAATCCCTTTTCTAGTTGATCATAAATCCAGGAAGAGAAGTAAATTTGGCTTGAATTTTGTGCATGTGCATTCAAGTTCTTCCTCCGACCGGTCATTTCCATTAGCAACATTCCGAAGCTAAAAACATCAGCTTTGTACGAAACACCTCCGAGGTTTCTGTAGAACATTTCTGGAGCTATATATCCCATCGTGCCTCTTGGAGCAGTAAGAGAAAGAGTGTTATGATCTCTAGGGGAAAATCTCGCAAGACCAAAGTCGGAAATTTTAGCAGTGAAGTTCTCATCAAGAAGAATGTTGTGAGGTTTGATGTCAAAGTGTAGAATTTGCATATCACATCCCTCGTGTAGATATTCGATCGCACGAGCCACCCCACGAGCTATCTCATGCATTCTATCCCAACCAAGAACAACGCCTGTTTCCTTCTCTGAAAATATATATTTTTCGAGAGATCCTTTAGGCATGAAGTCGTAAACAAGAGCTCTTTTCGATTTCTCAGAAGAGAATCCAATTAGTTGCACCACATTGACATGATGGATTCTTCCAATTATGGCAACTTCATTGATGAAATCTTGCCCTTCATCTTTGGATCCACTCAACATCTTGACTGCAACACGATGACCATCCGACAGCTCTCCTTTGAAGACGGAACCAAAGCCCCCCTGTCCGAGTTTATCTTTGAAATCCATTGTAATCTTCTTAATATCTGAATATGAATACCTTCTGGGCATAAGATCCTTGTATGCATCCAAGAATTCTTCAACCGCCTCGTCCTTTCGGAATTTTTTCGAATAGACTCCTTGACTCAGTTGTTTTAGAGGAACTACTTCCATGGAGATCGCATCCTCTTCACTGTCCGTGTCATCAACCGGATCTTCCATCAGCATCTCTTGGGGACAGAGTAAAGGCTTCGGAGGCATCTGCAAGGCTTCGACTTCACCTTCAAGCATCTCTATGACTTTGCTCATGGAAGGGCGATCCGCCGGCTTCAGTTGTATGCACCACAATGCAACCATGATCATCTTCTTGGCTACTTTATTATCATTCTCACAGGCATCAACAATTTCAACACTCAATCCCTTTTCTAGTTGATCATAAATCCAGAGAGGGAAGTATATTTGGCTTGAATTTTCTACACATGCATTCAAGTTCTTCCTCCGACCGGTCATTTCCATTAGCAACATTCCGAAGCTATAAACATCAGCTTTGTACGAAACACCTCCGAGGTTTCTGTAGAACATTTCTGGAGCTATATATCCCATCGTGCCTCTTGCGGTACAATGAGAAAGACTGTTACGATCTCTAGGGGAAAATCTTGCAAGATCAAAGTCGGAGATTTTAGCATTGAGGTTCTCATCAAGAAGAATGTTGTGAGGTTTGATGTCGAAGTGTAGAATTTGTATATCACATCCCTCGTGTAGATATTTGATTGCACCAGCCACATCGAGAGCTATCTCGTGCATTCTATCCCAACCAAGAACAACACCTGTTTCCTTCTTCGAAAATATATATTTTTCGAGGGATCCATTAGGCATGAAGTCGTAAACAAGAGCTCTTTTCGATCTCTCAGAACAGAACCCAATTAGTTGCACCACATTGACATGATGGATTCTTCCAGTGTTGGCAACTTCATTGATGAAATCTGGCTCATCACCTTTGGATTTCCCCAACATCTTGACTGCAACACGAAGACCATCCGACAGCTCTCCTTTGAAGACGGAACCAAAGGCCCCCTGTCCGAGTTTATCTTTGAAATCCATTGTAATCTTCTTAATATCTGAATATGAATACCTTCTGGGCATAAGAATCTTATATGCATCCAAGAATTCTTCAACTGCGTCGTCCTTTCGGAACTTTCGAACTGCATCATTCAGGAGCTTTTTCCAAAAGCCTTTTTGACTGACTTTAATTTTTGTCTCAATCATCATTTTCTAAAACAACTTTGCCTACAATCTCTTGTACTTACAATAGAAGCAAAATTTTCAATTAAGCCTCTGGTAATGCAGACTCAAGAAGTCCAAAATAACAATAAATTGGCCTCTGCAATTTCTATGTATGGCATAGCTGCTTTTGCAATAACAAGAACTTGGCTTCCTCCCTTCATCTATAGTGGTCATCGCTTACATTCAAACTCATAGCCTATAATCATCAGAATCAATCATTTTCCATCCTATCTGCAATAGAGAAAAAGATACAGGAGAGAAAAAATCATCATCTCAAATTTTGTTTCTTTATGGAGGAGGATGGGGGGCTTTGATTAAATAGTACTAAAACTTTTGTATACTTTAAAATTGTTCTCAATTACTCTATAAAAACAAATAATGGGACACGTTCAATCAGAAAAAGAGGACCCTAACACGTTATTAAAAAAAAAAAAAATACAAATCCTATAGCAAAAACAAGCAACAAAAAAAAAAAAAAAAAAACATAGAACACAGACCTGGGAAGACCCAAGGAAGATGCAGTGGTGTAAAATGGCATAAGGACAGAGTTGCAAAAGTTTAGATGATCAACTTTGTTGTGATTGTGACCTAGAAATCGAATCGGCGGGAGGTGAAGTTTAGGAAAATTGGAAGAGTCAGGAAGGCAGATAGGAGGGGGAGGTAGCAGAAAAAGTCAGGAAAATTGGGTTGAAAGATGCCTCAGTGCTGTTGATGAGATTTCAAAATCTAGAGCATTAAATTAACTTAGCATAAATCAATGACTGAAGAAGTAAGAGGGATTTGCAGGTGATGTAAAGTGGGAGGAGAGACAATCTTGGTCCAGATGAAATTACTTGGAAGTTTCCTTGGAAGACTTTGACAGACTATTCGATGACAATGATGGTTGACAGGTGCATTTTAACCCAAAAGACAAAGAGACACCAACATTCAACGAATTAATAATTTAAAGTTGAAGGGTAGACCTGAATTTTTATTACATAATTCGTTACACATAACATATAAATAATATGGAAATAAAGGATTTTTGATCAACACGATAACTAATTAAGTCATACGATAACTAATTAAGTCATATGATAAAAACTTGTTATCAAATGATTGGTTTTTTTTTTTTTAACAAAATATATTATCTACACTAAGGGGGAGGGGGGTGGGCTTAGCCTCACAATGGGCTAGCAATAACGTGATTCAATCAGTTATTTGTTAAATATTATTTTCTCTATTTTAAACACGTTTAAAACATCTTAAGAGGCGTGTAATGCCGGTTATAAAAAAAGTATTTCGCACACGGATAATAATATGATTAAATTAATTGTCAATTTTTTTTTTTAATAAATGATATTATCTACACTAAGGGGGAATGGATGAGTTTAGCCTCACAATAAGCTAGCAATAATATGATTCAATCAATTGTTTATTAAATATTATTTTCTTTATTCTTAATGTAAATTTTATAGAGAACAATTTTATTATGTGAATTTAATTGCTTTAATTGGTTTATGAGGGATTTCTAGCATGATCTAAAATTATTCATTTACTTCAAATATTTGACTTTTCTTTTATCAATTTACGTATCTAAATATATCTAAAATATATAACTCGCGAGTAGCACGTTGTAATTTTAAAAATACATTCTGCATGAAGGCTAGTTAAAACTAAACGCGTTGAACCCATGCGACACGTTTGAATTTCATAATAAGAGACAACACGCATAATGATGCTAGGATTTTGACAAGTCCATACAGAAACCGCACAACAATTTCTGCAAAGACCAAATGGGAAATGTATTATTTTCACATAACGCATTAATTGACCAATTATTCACACCAATGGAGTATGGAGTACGGAGTTTGGATGAAATTACTTACAAGTTTCCTTGGAAGACTTTGAACAGACTATTCAATGACGATAATAGTTGATAGGTGCATTTAGACCAAAAGACAAAGAGACACCGGCTGGTTTGGAGTTTTGGCTTATTAAAAAAAAATCTAGAACGTATTTAATAAAATAAAAAGATGTATTTTTTTTTTTAAATGTTATCAATGATAGTAGAAAAATATAGAAAATCAGAAGTAGAGTTTACCATATTTCTAAAAAAATGTTGTTTTTTTCAAAGCATAGTGAACAAAGACATTTTCAAATGACAAGTATAGTTCCGCATATTTTACAAAATTACAATCTTTGTCCCTGTATTATTCTTATTGGTAATTATTATACCACATTAAATACCATAGTTATTTAACATATTTACAGCAATTTTATATAAAAATTTACCAAACATTAAGATATATATATATATATATATATTTTTTTTTTTTGTTAAAAACACTTTTACAAAAAAAAAGTTTACCAAACACTCAACAATTTTATTTTACTGCTTTTTATTCTCACAGCACAATAGAAACAGTTTTTTTTTATTTTTTATTTTTTATTTTTATAAAGTACAACAATACCAAACTAGCATTTAATACCAAATACATCGATTTCAACTTTCAGGTCTTCTTTTCTACTTTTTATTGTAGTTCACTACTTTTTTTTCTTCTTATTACTAGCGATATTAGTATTATTATTCAAAGCTATATTGTTTCGTGATTACAAGCGATATTAATATTTGCCATGAAGATGAAGATGAAGATGGTAGCTTTTGAATCTGGAATACGCAAGTTAAAAGGAAGAAAACCTGTCCAACCAGGAGGCAATCCACTATCAATAGCTCACTCTTATTTTCAACCAGCTCGCATTTTGTCGTGTTTGTTTGTTTCACAACAACTTTTTGGGCCGGGCTTAAGTTTTTGGGGGCAGACATAGGCCATTTAAGTATGCATCCTAAATAGAGGTTTTTGGGGCACAAACTTAAACTTAAATTCGGATTGGCCCCAAAACTTGAAAACGAATTTATCTATGCATGCAAGTGGCCATTTTCAATTGTGATGGAAATATGTTGTACCTTTGTATAACGGCGTGAGTTTGAATTTCGTATTGGCTAATTTAACATCTAACTTACTAACACGATCGTTCAACTCAAAAAAAAGAAAAAAAAACTTACCTATGCATGAGATTCCACTGTAACAATACTCCCATAATTACAAACTACCACACATTTAAACTTCTCCACATGCCAAAGAGAGCAGCATTATACTAAGAAGGACTACGTATCTATAAAAAATTGAGCATAAAATAAGTGATTCAAAACCCGTTTCAACTCGTTCCAAATTTCCGAGTAATAAACATTTATGTAAAACAGATGTGACAAAGAGCCGATTTTTATGTAAAACTTTTTGGTAAACTTTTATGTAAAACAGATGTGACAAAGAGCCGATTTTTCAAAGCTGAGTTTTGCAGCTTCTTGTTTTTGGCTTTTTTTCACCAAAAACTGTGAAAAAAAGCTGAAGCTGAATGTTTATCAAACACAAAAACAGCTCCTAGCTTTTTTCAGAATCACCTCAGTACCAAAGCAGGCCATTGACTGATCAGCTTATTTTTTAGGTTGTTGACCGAAAAAGCTTACTTTTAAGAGATCTTTCAGTGTGTTAGGAACACGGTCTTTGTACAGTAAGTGTCGTAATACAAATAATTTGATCCTTAAAGAGAAATTTCAATTGCTTGTATTATGATACTTGGTGCACCTAGCTGTATTACTGGTACACTGAATTTTTTTTCTATTTTTAAATTGGATTTTTAACATGCAATACAATATTGCAGAAAAGCCCTCCTTTTTGTAACTTTGAGCACGTGAAACCATATTTAAAATTTTCAGAAATCTCGGAACTTTTTTGACAATGTAGACATACAAATAATACAACAACAAATTAACAATACAATGCAAGCAAAAGCAGAATTTGTTTGCTTTCAGTTGCTCTCACCCAAAATGCACACGATTCCAAATGTTACATGTGTTTTTGTCATCAGACTTTTGGCCAGGGAGTTTAATGAGTCAAATGGAAGAGTTGAGTTGGACGAGAGAATATTTTGATAGGGTTTCTGAGGGAAAGCATCATGTGTTTGTCCTCTTTGCTTCTTTTTCATCACTCCAGTGTGAATGTGACTAGAATATTTGATCATATCATACGCATGATGTCTTTTTATATCTTGTTTTCCTTTTCCCAGTTCTGCATGCTTTCGATGCCTTGACCATTTACGGTACTCCAAAAAGAACAATCTTTTCAATTTTTGTGCAGTTCTTAATATGCACGTTCATATTTTTACTAAAATCCAAGTGCTTTTTAGGAAGCACTTCTGAAAAAAGCCCCAACTTATAAGCGCTTTGGTTGGTAGAAAACACTTTTGGCCCTTCATGAAGCAATCCGGAACACTCACTAAATTATGAATCTTTGAAGTGCTTTACTAAATTAAGGAGAAAATAAAGTTAAGAACTCTTCAATTCCCGTTTCCTTTTTCTGTTGTTTGTTTAACGTAGTATTGATTTTATGAACTTGTATGATATGGTGGTCTTCGAATTTCCGTTGATGATATCGATTGATTGTTGTGGTTATGTAGAGACCCACTGTGGAAGTAACCGATCACAAGGCCCATGGTTCCATTCCAGAGCCTGGATCAGTTGTCATTGCTAGAGTAAGGGATCATCAACAAGATCATTGCATAATATAGCACACTTTCTCCAATCATGAAGCAGATTGTTGGACTGATTCGTGTATGTAAATCTTGCCGACGTTTCTTTCATCATAGCAGGTTACCAAGGTGATGGAAAGGATGGCTTCAGCTGATATTATGTGTCTTGGCACGAAGTCTGAGCGGTATATGCAGTATTCCTTTTGAATAATGACCACATAGGCGTTGCATTTATCTCGTGCATATTCGGTTGTAGTTTGTCTAGTGAAGTTAGTTGCTGTTCTGTTTCGTTTTCAAAACGTCATTTGGTTTATAAGCTGTTTCTATCAACAGGCTTCAAGATGTAAGAGCCACCGAAATTGACAAAGTAGATATGCTTTCGTCTTTTCGCCAGGGTGACATTGTGAGAGCTCATGTTGTATCCTTTATGTGTGGAATGCCCCCGTTAGTACTAGGTTAAAAACATTGTCATGCAGATAAGATAGTTGGTGGCAGAGATGACGCCTTTCCGTTGCAGATAATTTTTTTTTTTTTTTGGGTGAACTTCAGTGATATGTTTAATACTACGTCAATTGTGCTTGATATTCATATTGCAGTGATTAGTTACGGAAACAGTTTCCTTGATTCTTTCAGTAAGCTGTCGCTTGGAGACGCCAAGGCTTATTATCTGTCAACCGCAAAGAATGAACTGGGCGCTATTTCTGCAGAGTGAAGCAGCAGCAGCAGGTATATGTATTTTCTGCTAGTGTTCACTGGATTTTTTGTTAGTGTTCACTGAATCTTTTGCTAGTGCTATAATCTTTTGACGCGTATAAATGACACATTTACAAATAGCGTCTCATCCTCATTTCATATGTGCATCGGCGTTTCACACGTAACACTATCAAATCCACATGATGTGAACTCGGATGTGATTCTCTCTTTGTTCATCGTAGGTGAAATGATGGTGGCTAGAAGCTGGTCAGAGATGCAGTGCCCCGGGACAGGGCAAATCAAGCATAGAAAGGTCGCTGAGGTCGGAGGATGAAAAGATGAACAGAGAATTAATGTGTTGTCTTCTTTCTTCTCCTTTTGTTCCTTTTTCGAAAGCATGTAACCTTAGAGTTTCTTATAGATGGTGTGCACAGGGAAATAGGTTGAAGTCGGAAGTTATGGTAGTCTGATATAAGATTTTGTAACTCCGTCGACTCCCCCATGCACCTCTATGTGAAGGGTTTTACAAACTGGCAGTCTCCTGTTTACGGGTTCGCTTACGTTTAACTACTTTGAAAAGTTGTGCAAGAGACTGCGGTTTCTTGTTGAGTTGAGTTGTACTTGTATATGCTGCATATATTCATCCTATTCCAATATCATCATTCATTCATTTGAGTTAAGAGCTCACGAAAAAACTTGAGATTAATTTAAAATGTTTCATATAAAAGGCTAAGAATCCACCACACCAACGCGGAGTTTCGAAAATTACAAAGATTGATAAGGCATTGCATTTCCCTTATACCATGGAGATTGTATCCTCTTCACTGTCCGTGTCATCAACCGGATCTTGCATCGGCATCTCTTGGGGACAGAAGAAAGGCTTCGGAGGTATCTGCAAGGCTTCGACTTCACCTTCAAGCATCTCTACGACTTTGCTCATGGAAGGGCGATCCGCCGGCTTCAGTTGTATGCACCACAATGCAACCATGATCATCTTCTTGGCTACTTTCTTATCATTCTCACAGGCATCAACACTTTCAACACTCAATCCCTTTTCTAGTTGATCATAAATCCAGGAAGGGAAGTAAATTTGGCTTGAATTTTGTGCATGTGCATTCAAGTTCTTCCTCCGACCGGTCATTTCCATTAGCAACATTCCGAAGCTATAAACATCAGCTTTGTACGAAACACCTCCGAGGTTTCTGTAGAACATTTCTGGAGCTATATATCCCATCGTGCCTCTTGGAGCAGTAAGAGAAAGAGTGTTATGATCTCTAGGGTAAAATCTTGCAAGACCAAAGTCGGAGATTTTAGCATTGAGGTTCTCATCAAGAAGAATGTTGTGGGGTTTGATGTCGAAGTGCAGAATTTGTATATCACATCCCTCGTGTAGATATTTGATTGCACCAGCCACCCCGAGAGCTATCTCGTGCATTCTATCCCAACCAAGAACAACGCCTTTTTCTTTCTCCAAAAATATATATTTTTCGAGGGATCCATTAGGCATGAAATCATAAACAAGAGCTCTTTTCGATCTCTCAGAACAGAATCCAATTAGTTGCACCACATTGACATGATGGATTCTTCCAATTGTGGCAACTTCATTGATGAAATCTTGCCCTTCACCTTTGGATCCACTCAACATCTTGACTGCAACAAGATGACCATCCGACAGCTCTCCTTTGAAGACGGAACCAAAGCCCCCCTGTCCGAGTTTATCTTTGAAAGCCATTGTAATCTTCTTAATATCTGAATATGAATACCTTCTGGGCATAAGATTCTTGTATGCATCCAAGAATTCTTCAACTGCCTCGTCCTTTCGGAATTTTTTCGAATAGACTCCTTGACTCAGTTGTTTTAAAGAAACTACAATCATCTTGAATTCTGAATAAAAGTACTTTCTTCTTCTAACATTCTTGCATGCATCCAAGAACTTTTGAACTGCATCATTCAGGAGCTTTTTCCAAAAGCCTTTTTGACTGACTTTAATTTTTAATTCAATCATCATTTTCATGATATCCGAAAACGAATACCTTGTTATTCGATTCTTGCAAGCAAGCAAGAATTCTTCTACTGCTGCATGCTTTGGGAACTTTTTCCAGTACAGTTTGTAGCAACAGAAACCCAACAAAATAACAACGCCGAGTATCATTCGCGCCATCAGAAACGCCCCTGCCATAAGAACACAGGAGGGTATTAGAAGTTCATCCTGTCATTGGAACTTCAATTTTCAAAATCCACCACGCAATACAAGCAAGTGTTACTTTTATATATCTATATTCTTTGGAATTTAATTTCAGCTAGTTAAAGAACATAAACATTCTTGAAAAAGACTTACCGATGATCTTGGCGGCTTCTAGGAGATCTGTGTGAAAACAGAACGAAGGGAAAAGATTAAACTCAGCAATTTTAAGAGCAACATAACAACATTAGCTATTAGAAAATGTGGTGCTAGTCAAAACTTACTGCGCTTCATGTCTTCACCGAAACCTGCAAAAGTTCATTAGTGTCAGTTAGAGATTGAAGAAAAAATCTTCATTTTAATTCATATAAAATTAACTTGAATTAGTGACTGTTCGCCAAAGTGATGAAACCATACTCACAGTGGAGGGATTGGTATCGGTCGTAGCAGTAACTGTCGAGGAGATATCCATCCCAATAAAGCTCTATACCGCTTCTCAAATGATCACGGATGAAAGAAAATGAAAGGCCACTTCCAGCTTGTGTGATATCATAAGAATATTGAACAATTCCGGTCAGATTACAAGAGGGTTGAAGATTGTCCACTCTATCTTTCACCATAATATAAGAATATGAGGTTGTAGCAGATGATGAGTTGGTAGTACTGCAGTTGATTTTTACGTAATCCGGAGACTCAACGGGTGACAAGCAATCAAAGAAAGATATATAATCGTGATCACCAACTAGCGAATATCCAAATTCATATCCATATCCATATCGATATCCATATTCGCTGAAATTATAAAACGTTAACCAGTTGAGTGGCCTAAAAGGGCAAGTATCGTTTAGCAAGCCAGGATCCACAACATGGATTGTACGATCCTTATAGTTGATTGGCGCTTTGACATAATATGTAGAATTAAAGAGATTGAAGGTGGTGCGATTATGCTCGCACGATAGCTCAGCTGGATAACGGGGGCAATTAACTTCAGAACCGTTTCTCAGGCTAAAAGGGTATCGAATGTCTAGAAGATCTCCACATGAAGCATGCCTCCGACACTCCTTAGCATCATGACACACTACAAAGCTGATAGCTATAACACATGCTAGTAGCCGGATTCTTCTCAGCATTGTAGTAAGCGATAAGATGAACGGAATTGAGGAGGAAGAAAAAGAATGAAAGATTGTCCTGTTATTTAGGACGGATTCTGCATATTTCACTTGGACTTTTGGTTAAGCAAGAAACATAGTTGCTTAAACTTACCAAGAAAGTTCCCCTGCTTGGAAATTCTTCTTTAAAAAGCATTTATGCTCAGAAGCACTTCTAGTAAAAGATTTCCATTAGAAGCACATTGAAATTTATAATAAAATTGTAAGTTTATCTTGGAAAAAAGTGTTTCCCAAAAGAACCACATAGCAAGTGCTTCTTCCATAAAGTACTTCATATACTTTTTTTAACCAAGAAGCACTTTTAACTTTTTGTGTTAAACATAGTCAGAAGCGCTTTTGATGATCTGAAAGCACTTTTGGAGAATGCTTAATCACAGAGACAGACAGTGATTGATGAGATGACCAAGACTAGTCAAGTGATAAGGCAATGGGTGGACACCAAACAATATGCAAACTTACAACAAGGCAAAAACTTTGAGAACAACTGCCTTTGGCTCTGCTGAAAGAGTAGAGATGAATATCGATAGCCAACTCCTCCAACCTCTGTTTTTCTTGCTGGTAATTTTCTTCGCCACGGCCATTAATGTCGTACCAAGCAAAGCAGCAGCTGATGATCATGGCACAGACTGCCCAATTTCACGGTGTAGGGATGATGGTCCCGTTATCAAGTTTCCCTTTCGCCTAAAAGACGATCCCCCACACTGTGGCCATCCACAGTTTGAGGTTTCTTGCTTGCAAAACAAGACAATGATTCAGCTCTCATCGTCATCGGGACTGTTTCCCATACGAACAATAGATTACAAACGGAAACAGTTTCGCGTCTACGATGCAAATGGTTGCCTCCCCAGACGCCTTCTTAACTTTACCATCTCCAGCAACTCATCTCAGCTCTTTGATATCTCCCGGCCCTATGATTACCGGTCCTATGATTACTCCTATTATTACCGGCCCTATGATTCCCTGTATTTCGACTGCGCTGCTTCATTAACTACTACTCTGATAGCAAACTTTACATTATTAAACTGTTCCACAGATCAAAACTTGACCAGAACCTTCAATGCGAACTACTTTCCTATCAGCTGTCTCAGTGTCCCAGGGCACCAAGTTCTGGCTTTTCCACCCGAAGCTTCTGTCGCTGATTTGCCTGTGCCAACTTGTAGCATTTGGAGAAAACTCCAATATCTTCCGTTACGAAGAGTGGATGGTAATAACAACCGACACAATTGTGGCGTGGGCAGTTTTCTGTGGCTGCGATGGAAATCATGGGATAATTTCCCATCATGCCAATACTGTGGACGATATTGCCATCCCAATAGCAGCACCAATCAGTTGGAGTGCCATCGTCCTCCACAACATCAAAAAGGTACTTCCCCGACCTTTACATTTCGCTTCAGAAATTGCAACATATATCCTGAAAAAATTTACTTTGTTTCCTCAATTCAACTCATTTTGTTTAACTTTTCTCCTTGTAATTTCAGGCCATGCATCAAGTAGGACGTCGATTATCTTGGGAGCGAGCGTAGCTTCATTTGCTCTTATATCAGCGGTGGCAGCAGTAGTATTTTTTTTCCATGTAAAACGATCAAAGAGCGTACAGGAGAAAGAGAATCAACTCAAAGTTGAAAGGTTCCTGAAGGATCACAAATCTCACGTACCAACGAGATACTCCTACGCCGATATTAAAAAGATGACAAATGGATTCAAGAAAAAGTTAGGTGAAGGAGGTTTCGGAAGCGTTTACAGTGGAGAGCTTCCAATTAATGGAGTTCCAGTCGCCGTAAAAGTCCTCGCTGACTCGAAAGGAAATGGAGAAGATTTTGTTAATGAAGTGGGAACCATTGGCAGAATTCATCATGTCAATGTGGTTCGTCTACTAGGTTTTTCTGCCGAAGTAGGCAAACGTGCGCTTATTTACGAGCTCATGCCAAACAGGTCCCTAGAGAACTTCATCACATCTAAAGATCAATCCAATAACACTTTGTTTGATTGGCAGAAACTTCATAACATCGTCAATGGTATAGCGAAGGGAATCGAGTATCTTCACCAAGGGTGCGACCGCATGATCCTCCACTTCGATATCAAGCCTCGTAACATACTGTTAGACCATGATTTCAGTCCTAAGATCTCGGATTTTGGTCTGGCTAAACTGTGTTCCAAAGAAGACAGTATCGTATCTATGACAGCTGCTAGAGGCACCGTGGGCTACATTGCACCAGAAGTGTTTAACGGGAACTTTGGGAACGTGTCACACAAGTCAGATGTGTACAGTTTCGGGATGCTGGTGCTTGAGATTGTTGGAGCTAGGAAGGAAACTGCTCTTGCTTCTGGCAACAATGAGGTCTACTTTCCAGAGTTGGTCTACAATCGTCTCGTTCAAGGAGAAGAGTTGGATTTGAAGCTAGATACCGATGAGGACACTCAGATTGCTAAGAAACTAGTGATTGTGGCACTTTGGTGCATCCAGTGGTACCCGGTGAATCGCCCTCCCATGAAAGCAGTTGTTAGAATGCTAGAAGGAGGCTCTGAAAACTTGAGCATGCCACCAAATCCATTTGCTTCCACAAGTGCACAGACAGATCAACCGAGAACAACACTGTCAAGTTAACTAGTCACACTAAATAATTGTGTCCTGCATATTTGTAAAAGTAGCACGAAAGCAACAATTAAAAGAGCTTTCTAATAAAATTTTACTGCCTGGTGGCTAGTAAATTATCATTTTACCATGTTTTCGGTTAGAACGGTCTATTAGAATGTGAGAATCCATCGTAAAACCAATTGACAATGGATGGAAATGCCATATCTTTTAAACTGTTCGCAAAGCTTTAAAATCTCAGGGCGTGTGGCGGAATGGGAGTCATTCCCCATTCCTGATTATTCTTTCGTTTACCAACTTAAACGGAATGTACAGTTCTGTGGGCCCACGTAAAATCAGGAATTCAATTCCTGATATCACCGGAATTGGATTACCTGGACGAAGGTAGTATTTGGATTGAATTGGATTACCTGGACGAAGGTAGTATTTGGATTCCGGGGAGAAGGCTCCATCCGGAATCAAATTATTCTTCCCAAAATGCCCTTCACCTTCAGTACTCCTTTCCATCGCTCCTGCGCTTCACCTTCATCGCCTGCGCCACACCTTCCATCTCCCCGTGTAGCCATGCCTTACTCCCCTGCCACTGCCTTACAAAACCCAACCCTCAAATCACCCAAACCACGGATAATAAACCCACAGATCCAGTGAAGAAATCACTCAAAATCTAGAAAATCTTGAAATTGAATTACTTGGCAGGTAGGATGGGTGGTGATTATGGGGTAGGTTGATTGGGAAAGATGAAAGCGAGGGGTAAAGGGGAGGGAGGAGTTTTTATCTTCTGCTGGGGAAGATGAAAGCGAGGTGTGGTGATTACGAGAGTTTGTTTGCTTGACTCACCGCCTCACCATTTCCGGCATATAAACAACTCCCTCTCTCTCCCATTTTAACTCTTCACTTTAATCAAATTAATAAAAATAACTAATGAAAATATTATTAAAAAAAAATATGGGAAACAAATAAAACAAAGAGAATAAGGGCATTTTAGTAATCATATTAACTTCTATTCCGATTCAGGTGAATTAGTATACAATTTATATGAATTTCGTTTCAATTTTACTCCGATTTCAGAACATTTAAGTAAATAACTTCAACATGAATCTGATTCTGACTCCTTCTCAATTCAATTCATCCTCAATCCAATTCCTCTATTTTAATTACGGTTACATAAACGCGTTCTCAATTTGAAAATTATGCTCCCAACACACATCCCTTATCTCATGTGTGGCAGCACACGTAAACAATACATATCAAATGACATGAAAGCACATGTTGCAAACACTTGAATAGTCCGCTCTTATAAATAGAATGCAAGTATTGACTTCAAAACTAATTGGAAATAGATGAAAGGTCCACAATCATTTAAACTAAGCGCGTTGAGCCCATGTGACATGTTTGAATTTCATAGTAGGAGACAACACGGGACTTTGACAAATTCATCCAGAAATCGGAATGAGGATTATCTCCGGATATTCTTTGTTCGGCTTTCAGAAAATTTTAATCGTGTTCGTTCATCATACATCGTGTAGTCATAAATCATTTTAATTCTTTTTATTTCAAATTAAACACAAACAGTACTTGACAAAAACTGACTGTATCATGTACGATAAATAGACATAATTAAAAAAATTTCAAAATCTTCACAAAAAGAATTCGAAGAGAATTCTCATTCCAGAAATCGCACCACAATTTCTGCCAAGACCAAATGGGAAATGTATATTTTTTCATATAACGCGTTAATTCACCGATTATTCACGTCATGGAGTATGGAATACTTTGTCAGAAATTGTGGTCTTTGTCTTTGTAGTGTTCCGGATGAAATTACTAACAAGTTTCCTTGGAAGACTTTGACAGACTATTCGATGACAATGATAGTTGACAGGTGCATTTTATCCCAAAAGACAAAGAGACCAACATTCAACGAATTAATAATTTAAAGTTGAAAAGTAAACTGATAATTTTTTACATGATTCGTTAACACGAGACATAAATAATAGGAAATAACGGATTTTGAATTAACACGATAACTAATCGGATCGTTATTGGATCACATTATAAGAACCCGTTAATAACATATCATTAACAAGTTTACACGAAGGTGACACGCTAGTAAACCATTTCAGCACGTTAAGAAAAAATTATTTTGATGATTTTAATTTTTTAAACTATTAAAAAAAATTACTATAAAATACAATAACCTTAGTGTGTGTGAGTGTGTGTATATATTGTGTTCTAAATATGTATTATTGTATTATTATTCTATGTAAATTAAAAAAAAATTAAATCTTATTTATTTATTTTTATACTAAAAAGTGAGATTAAAAAAATTATAAACACATTAAAAATAAAATATCAAGTAATTTAAAAAGACCAAACACATTAAAAAAATTATAATATTAATTTACAAGTGCGAAAAATATATAAAAAATATGTAAACCGATCGCACCATTTACGCTTTGAGGATGGATACATCGTCGTTTCAGTTTTTAAAACCATACAAACCCTTGTGAATGGTATTTTTAAGGGAGTTCAAAATAAATAAAAATCATAATCATTAACGTACGAGTCTAAAAAATGTGAAATCACATATAAACGCTCATGATTGTATCATTTACACTTAAACGATGGTTACATGCTTATTTAGATTTTTAAAACCCTCCAAATCTCATGAAAAACCAATTCCCTTCACTTTGCATATCCTTGAACATTTGGCTAACTCCCTTCATTTTGCATATCATTGAACATTTGGCATTTTTTGGTAATGTAACTAGGATTCTCTCCCCTCCTCTCACATTCTCTTATTTTGTCTTTCTCTTGCTATAAAAAATTAATTTAAGATGTTGACGTGGCCATCACATGTCTCTGTGTCCCTCGGTATCAACTTCTGGGTGTTCTACCCTCCACTTCTTTAGATTCAGTGCTAGTTACAGGAGAGATTTTTCAGTGTGACCGGTACACGGGGTGGTACACCACGTGTTACTATACAAATGGTGGGATATGTGTTTTAAAAAGTTAATAACTTAAAAAATAAAATTTCTCACCATTCTTATTAAAACACGTGATGTACCACTTATGTTCCCGTCACAACTAAAAATTTCTCCAGTTACAGCTTGCATCACGTTACGTTGATTAGAGAAATTTATTTTCCACTACGAAGTGTCGACAGTGTTAAAGTTTTAGACAAATGGTCAAAGATCAACTGGGGCCATCATCATAGGAGGGAGCATTAGCTTGTTTTGTTTTGCTTTTGGCAATGAAGTAGCCGTAAGAGAGAGATCCATTGCCAGAGCAACCTGACTATGTGTTACATGTGCGCTTCAGGCTGCACTCTTCCACCATGTAGTTAGACAACCAAATTGGAGAGATGAAAAGGAGAATCAAATGAAGATAGAAAGGTTCCTAAATGATCACAAATTCTACCTAAACTGTTAAACAAAACTTAAATATCTCAATTTATTTATGCTCCCAACACAGACTCTCTATCTTTCTTGTGGTAATACACGTGAACAATACATATCAGGTGACATAGAAGTACATGTTACCAACACGTAAATAGTCTACTCTCATAAATAAAATATAATCATTCAACTCAAAACCAATTGAGAATGGATAAAAAGTTCACAATTATTTAAACTAAACGCGTTGAACCCATGTGACACGTTTGAATTTCATAGTAAGAGACCATACGCCTACTGATCCTAGGGTTTTGACAAGTCCATCCAGAAATCGCACAACAATTTCTGCCAGACCAAATGGGAAATGTATTCTTTTCACATAACTCATTAATTGACCAATTATTCACACCGTGGAGTATGGAGTATATGGATGAAATTACTTACAAGTTTCCTTGGAAGACTTTGAACGGACTATTCAATGACAATGATAGTTTAGGATTTTGACAAGTCCATCCAGAAACCACACAACAATTTCTGGCAAGACCAAATGGGAAATGTATTCTTTTTACATAACTCATTAATTGACCAATTATTCACCCCAATGGAGCAGGGAGTTTGGATGAAATCACTTACAAGTTTCCTTGGAAGACTTTGGACAGACTACTCAATGACAATGATAGTTGATGGGTGCAATTAGACCAAAAGACAAAGAGACACCAATATTCAACAAATTAATAAATTAAAGTTGAAAAGTCTTAAGAATTTTTTAGGGCTGGTTCGGAGTTCTGATATTTTAGAAAACAGCTTATTAAAAAAAATCTAGGATGTGTTTGATAAAATAAAGGATTTTTTTTTTTTAAATGTTGTCAATGATAGTAGAAAAACATAGAAAATCAGAAGCAGAGTTTACCATGCTTCTAAAAAAATGTTTTTTTTTTTTTCAAAGCATGGTGAACAAAGACATTTTCAAGTGACAAGTATAGTCCCGTATATTTTACAAAATTACAATCTTTGTCCTTGTATTATTCTCATTGGCAATTATTATACCACATTAAATATCATTTATGTTTTTAGTCATTTAATATATTTACAACAATTTTATATAAAAGTTTACCAAACACTAAAATATTGTTTTTTTTTTTGGTTAAAAGCACTTTTACAAAAAAAAAAATTTACCAAACACTCAACAACTTTATTTTACCGCTGTTTATTCTCACAACACAGTATAAATAGTTTTTTTTTTTTTTTTTTTTTTTTAAGTACAGCAATACCAAACTAACCTTTAATACCAAATACATCAGTTTCAACTTTTATGTCTTTTTTTTTCCCCTACTTTTTCTTGTAGTTCACTACTTTATTTCTCTTATTACCAGCGATATTAGTATTATTATTCAAATCTAGCAACTAGCATTCATGCACGCGCTCATGCGCATGCTGAAGACATTTTTTGAATCATGACGTGCTACGCGTAACTTACATATTTTAAATTTATTTATATGAGTACATTGATAAAAGGAAAGTCAAATATTTGAAGTAAATGAATAATTTTAGATCATGCTAGAAAAAAAAAATCCCTCATAAATCAATTAAAGCAGCTGAATTCATAGGAGGGAGGCCATCATCATAGGAGGGAGCATAGCTTGTTTTGTTTTGCTTTTGGCAATGAAGTAGCCGTAAGAGAGATATCCATTGCCAGAGCAACCTGACTATGTGTTACATGTGCTCTTCAGGCTGCACTCTTCCACCATGTGGTTAGACAACCAAATTGGAGAGATGAAAAGGAGAATCAAATGAAGATAGAAAGGTTCCTAAATGATCACAAATTCTACCTAAACTGTTAAACAAAACTTAAATATCTCAATTTATTTATGCTTCCAACATAGACTTCCTATCTTTCTTGTGGTAATACACGTGAACAATACATATCAGGTGACATAGAAGTACATGTTACCAACACGTAAATAGTCTACTCTCATAAATAAAATATATCATCCAACTCAAAACCAATTGACAATGGATAAAAAGTTCACAATTATTTAAACTAAACGCGTTGAACCCATGTGACACGTTTGAATTTCATAGTAAGAGACCACACGCCTACTGATCCTAGGGTTTTGACAAGTCCATCCAGAAATCGCACAACAATTTCTGCCCGACCAAATGGGAAATGTATTCTTTTCGCATAACTCATTAATTGACCAATTATTCACACCGTGGAGTATGGAGTATATGGATGAAATTACTTACAAGTTTCCTTGGAAGACTTTGAACGGACTATTCAATGACAAAGTCCATCCAGAAACCACACAACAATTTCTGGCAAGACCAAATGGGAAATGTATTCTTTTCACATAACTCATTAATTGACCAATTATTCACCCCAATGGAGTAGGGAGTTTGGATGAAATCACTTACAAGTTTCCTTGGAAGACTTTGGATAGACTACTCAATGACAATGATAGTTGATGGGTGCAATTAGACCAAAAGACAAAGAGACACCAATATTCAACAAATTAATAAATTAAAGTTGAAAAGTCTTAAGAATTTTTTAGGGCTGGTTCGGAGTTCTGATATTTTAGAAAACAGCTTATTAAAAAAATCTAGGATGTGTTTGATAAAATAAAAGATTTTTTTATTTTTTTTAAAATGTTGTCAATGATAGTAGAAAAACATAGAAAATCAGAAGCAGAGTTTACCATGCTTCTAAAAAAATGTTTTTTTTTTCAAAGCATGGTGAACAAAGACATTTTCAAGTGACAAGTATAGTCCCGTATATTTTACAAAATTACAATCTTTGTCCTTGTATTATTCTCATTGGCAATTATTATACCACATTAAATACCATTTATGTTTTTAGTCATTTAATATATTTACAACAATTTTATATAAAAGTTTACTAAACACTAAGATATATATATATATATTTTTTTTTTGGTTAAAAGCACTTTTACAAAAAAAAAGTTTACCAAACACTCAACAACTTTATTTTACCGCTGTTTATTCTCACAGCACAGTATAAATAGTTTTTTTTTTTTTTTTTTTTTTTTTTTAAGTACAGCAATACCAAACTAACCTTTAATACCAAATACATCAGTTTCAACTTTTATGTCTTTTTTTTTCCCCTACGTTTTCTTGTAGTTCACTACTTTATTTCTCTTATTACCAGCGATATTAGTATTATTATTCAAAGCTAGCAACTAGCATTCATGCACGTGCTCATGCGCATGCTGAAGACATTTTTTGAATCATGGCGTGCTACCGTAACTTACATATTTTAAATTTATTTATATGAGTACATTGACAAAAGGAAAGTCAAATATTTGAAGTAAATGAATAATTTTACATCATGCTAGAAAAAAAAACCCCTCATAAACCAATTAAAGCAGCTGAATTCATATAATAAAACCGGTGTCTATAGAATTTAGATTAAGAATAGAGAAAATAATATTTAATAAACAATTGATTGAATCACATTATTGCTAGCCCATTGTGAGTCTAAACCCATCCCCTCTCCCTTGGTGTAGATAATATCTTTTGTTTAAAAAAAAAATCATTTGACAATTAATTTAATCACATTATTATCCACGTACGAAATACCTTTTTTATAACCGGCATTACACGCCTCTTAATATGTTTCAAACGTGTTTAAAAATAGAGAAATTGAATCATATTATTGCTAGCCTATTGTGAGATAATAATGATAAAAATAAAAAATAAAAAATAAAAAAACTGCACCAAAAAATTAATTATCAAAAAAAGCACTGTTAAAATTACAAAATTACCCTTGTATTATTTTATGCATTCTTTTTGCTGCTTTTGATTTTTGTTGAAGCCGTGACCCCAAAGTGGGGCTCCGGCTTTATATATAGAAGATATAGAAGATAGATAGATATTAATATTGCCATGAAGAGGGAAGCGTTTGAATCGGAATACACAAGTCAAAATGAAGAAAACCTATCCAACCAGGAGGCAATCCACTTTCAAAGCTCACTCTTATTTTCAACCAGCCCGCATTGTGTCATGTTTGTTTGTTTGTTTCACAACAACTTTTTGGGCCGGGCTTAAGTTTTTTGTGGGGTAGACATAGGCCATTTAAGTATGCGTCGTAAATGGAGATTTTGGGGGTATAAACTTAAACCTACATTTGAATTGGTCCCAAAACTTGAAAACTAATTTATCTATGCATGCAAGTGGCCATTTTCAACTGTGATTGAAATGTGTTGTGCCTTGTATGACGGCGTGAGTTTGAACTCCATCAGTGACTAATCTAATATCTAACTTGCTAATGCTATTGCTTGACTCAAAAAAAAAAAAAAAACACTTATCTATGCATGAGATTCCACTGTAACAATACTCCCATAATTACAAACTGCCACACATTTAAACTTCTCCACATGCCAAAGAGAGCAGCATTATACTAAGAAGGACTACGTATCCATAAAAAATTTAGCATAAAATAAGTGATTCAAAACCCGTTTCAACTCGTTCCAAATTTCCGAGTAATAAACATGTCCCGTGCCTAAAAGAAAACCTGCTCTCGAAACTACCAAAAATTTTAATTGGTGATCTGATAGAAATTTTCAAACAGTAAAATTGAAGCTTTATATGAGTAATCTCTAGTTTTTCCAAAGATGTAGGGATATTATTACAAGACTTATATGGGACTCCATTTTACTTACACCATGGAAGCCGTTTCTATAGCAGTATCTGTAAGCCTACATGTCTCTTCGACATCCGTCTCATCAGGTGGATCCTCCATCGGCATATCTTGGGGACAGAAGAAGGTTTCGGTGGCATGTGCATGTCTTCGACTTCACCTTCAAGCATCTCCACAACTTTTCTCATAGAAGGGCGATCTGCCGGCTTCAATTGTATGCACCACAGTGCAACCATGATCATCTTCTTTGCTACTTTCTTATCAATTTCACAGGCATTCTCAATTTCAATGCTCAATCCTTTTTCTAGTTGATCATAAATCCAAAAGGGAAGTATATATTTGGCTTGTATTTTCTGCATGAGCATGCATTCAAGTTCGTTCTATGTCCTGTCATTTCCAATAACAACATCCCCAAAGCTATGTATCCCATTGTGCTCCTTGCAGCTGTAACAGAAATGGTGGTGTGATCTTTAGGGTAAAGTCTTACAAACCCCAAAGTTGGAGATTTTTGAAGTGAAGTTTTCAAGTAGAATATTCATAGTGCAGAATCTGCATATCACAGCACTGATGTAGATATGCTTGAGGAATGCCGGTTGAAAAACTAAATTCCATATGATGAGTAGGTCAATGCCTTGGTAAGCAATTAGATGTACTGTTTTTTTAGGCTGGACTGATTAACTATAGTTTACTAAAGATTTTTGAAAATTTCTTACATAAAATTACTCTCTCTATTCTAATTACTCTTAAGAATTTAATCGTTCCCTTGGTTATCAAGAACCACGGGCTAAGAGTTATGACATGCCATGTTCCTAATCTGAGTTATGACATGCCATTTTCCTTTTAGAAGATATTTATATGGATGTTCAAAACGTATATTTAGCTGTGCCGGAAAAGACTAGTTTCCCTTTTTTTTCTTTATGGAAATCCAAGTACTTAAGATTTTGATGGAGCAATTGTCGATTATATTATCTTCAGAATGCATAACTAGGTTTCATGCATTTCTAGGCTAGCTGTATTTTTGGATCCTGTTGAACCCTTATAGATTGCAAAAGTAATGATTACAACCGGAAAGCTTCTGTCTGAAAGTTCAACATCGACAGTCACTGATGAACTAAAGAAGGAAAGTAGGATGCTGAAGGTTGACAATGTTACTGCACTTGTTGCAAGTAACAAGGGAGGCATTTATTCTATGTTCAATGGTGGATTAATGTCGTTGCCAACTGCAGTTTGGAGATCTTCAGCTCGAGCTAATATCAGATAAAGCCACCATAGGGGTCGTAATCAGCTTTGCTTTTGGGTAAATATACTTGCCTGTAACAACCTTACTTCTCTTTCGTGGGAGCTAGCTCAGGGCATCCAAAACATCCCGGAGAGTTCATTGCAGTATGCAAATGACAATGCTTTGATGCTGGCTAAGGTGCTCGAAAATAATCCGGCCCATACTTGTGGCCGTTTTTTTCTATTTAAACCTAGTGCCGCATACTAACATATGAAAATCTCTGAATGCAGTCTTTGAGGGGCGCTCTGCTTACTGTCTGCTATTCATCAGCGTTATTGTCTGCTTTTACTACTGTCGGACTTCTCTTACTCGGAAGACAACTAAAGTCACCAAACGAGAAGTGAGCTTCCTCGTGTCCTGTCTCCCTCGGTTTTGCTTTTGCCTCTCTCTGTATATGCAGAAGTCGATCGATGTATTTTATAATAGAATTGCCCGATATAAGTGGAATTAAATGTTGCTCGATAACAATCTCAAGAAGTGCATAAGAAGATTTTTTGTTAACAAAACTACTGTATCATGTAATTAACTCAGAATAATGTACAAGGTTGAGACCTCTTCTTTTGTGTTAATGCTGATTGTTGTTATCTTTTAAGAATCCGGATCCTCTCTGTGAGGATTCCAGAAATTCGTGAATTACGTCCGTTTATTGAACATCGTGTGGTCAGAAATCATTTTAAATATTTTTATTTAAAATTAAATACAAACGGTACTTGACAAAAAATGACCGCAAGATATACGATAAACAGACACGATTCACGAATTCTCAGGATCCTCGCCAAAATGATCCATAGAGGATCATGTTGGTACGTGTACATCGTTTTGGGAATTATTACCTGTTTATCGAAAAAAAATTGACCGATTTAAGCTATTGTTCTTAGATTGCAACAATTAGTAAACTACAACATGACGATAGAAACTAGAAGGACCAAAGTCGAACTTGGGCCAAACCACAGGGAGCAAGATTTTCGATGCAAATGACACCCAACCCATAAGAAGACAAGAAATCAAAACGATACTGGAAGTTGTTGCATAGTAAAAGAAGGCATTTTGAGCCCTACAAACATATTTCACATGGTGCATCACCGAGTGTGGCTAGCTTGGAAGGCTCAAGTTAACGTCGTTTACCATATTGGTTTACTCAGTGTGAATGGCTTAGAAGGCTCAACGTCAACGTGTTTACCATATCGGTTTACAGTTTTGAGCATAAACAGGCATCTGGCGAAAGGTTGTTATCATCAATTCAATTCTCTTAAGCATGGAGATTAAGTCAATGCTAACCCTAAATGTATATCTCACTGTTGCTAACTAATTAATTGATAAAAAAATGAGGCCGCCAGTAAGTACAATTAAGCCCAAATTAAACACACGTTGAGGAGAAAGCAAAAACAAACCAGTACCTTTGCATCCGCCAGCCACGAATGACGACGGAGGTTATTCAAAGATGTTGGATAGTGGCCAAATTAGGCTAGGAAACAAAACAATATTGATGAGGGAACATCATGATGAGGATTATGTTTCCTTGTTTGGTGGCTTGTTTTGTGGCTTAATTTGTTCCTTGTGGCTTTTTCAAAGCCATAATTATTTGGCTGGGATGAAGAAAAGCATAAAAAGAGATGGTGAGAGCATTTGGCTCAATAAGGAGGCATGGGTGAGAGAAATCAAGAGAGCTAGAGTGAAAGATCTCTTGTGAAAGAACTCTTGGGGTAGAGTGAGGCTCTTGGGAAAATTCTGTGAGTGGGTGTACAAGGGATATGGGATTGGGTTATGTCGATTTAACTCATGTGTAACTTGTACTGTTTTTCTCATAGTGAAGAGCAATATCTCTCCGAGGACGTAGGCAGGTTTTTGCCGAACCTCGTAAATTTCTCGGTGTCTTTATTTCTTGTATTTTAAACTATTCAACTGTGGGTTTGTATGTTGGTGAAGATAATCAGCCAAGGCACAACAATTGGTATCAGAGCTTTGTTGGAAGCTTTGGTTCATTGAAGGTTCAGATTTATTATTCACCATGATGACTACAAACATGTCGTTTTCAGTTGAGAAGTTTAATGGGAAGGGCAGTTTTACTCTCTGGCAGATGAGAGTAAAGGATGTCTTGACTCAACAAGGCTTGGTTAGAGCTTTGAAGGGAAAAGATGGGAAGCCTAAAGAAATGACAGATGACCAGTGGGAGGAGCTAGAGTCGCGTTGTGTTAGCACGATTCGACACTGCATAGCTGATAACATTATCAACAATGTTATGGATGAAGATTCTGCGCCTGCACTGTGGGAGAAGTTGGAAAAACTCTATATTGCTAAGAGTTTGACCAACAAGTTACATCTGAAGAGGAAGCTGTACAAGCTGAAGATGGATAAAGGCGGGAATCTCATGGACCACATGAATGTGTTCAATGGATACTTGGATCAATTGAGGAAAGTTGATGTTAAGGTTGAGGAAGAAGATAAAGCCCTCTTACTTCTTACCTCACTTCCAGATTCGTATGAGAATCTTGTGACAACCTTATTGCATGGAAAAGATACAGTAAGTTTGGAGCAGGTGCAGGCTTCTTTGGTGTCTTATGATACACAAAAGAGGAAGACCATTGTTGATGGTGGGCACGAGACTGCTTTAGCTGTTCAAGGTTGGAATCATGGAAGAAAATTGGGAGGAGGATTTGAGAGAGACAGCAGGTTCAAATCAAGCTCCAAAGGCAAGGGACCACAATGCTATGACTGCAAAGAATTCGGGCATAAAAAGATAAATTGTCCTTTGAGAAAAAGAAAGGATGATCTTGGTCCAGGTAGCAGCAATTTTGTGGCGGAAGACTTCGAGTATGCCCTCTAGGTACTCGAAGCAACACATCTCCTGGTGATGTATAGTCTCAAGTGTTGCAGGGGTTTTGCAGCAGGTGGAGCTATGAGATTCACAGGTGATGAGATGGTCCTGAAGAATGAGAAGTGTGAGGAATGTTTGTCTGGCTCGACGGGTGTTGCTGGAAATGGGTGCACTGACAAGTTTCCAAGTTGCAGACAATGAAGAGGAGGAAAACCTGCTGGAGGAGACGAGGATGTGTCGAGATCCTGTCTGAAGCTAAATGTTTTTTTTTTTTTGCTTGCAGCAGCTGCACATGCATTGGTAGTGACTGAATCGGAACAGGACCAACGAGGTTGATTCAGAGTGTGCATGCTGGTACGTAAGGCCAATGGACTTTGGTACAATTTGGCCAAGGTGGAGATTGTTGGATAGTGGCCAAATTAGGCTAGGAAACAAAACAATATTGATGAGGGAACATCATGATGAGGATTATGTTTCCTTGTTTGGTGGCTTGTTTTGTGGCTTAATTTGTTCCTTGTTTTGTGGCTTTTTCAAAGCCATAATTATTTGGCTGGGATGAAGAAAAGCATAAAAAGAGATGGTGAGAGCATTTGGCTCAATAAGGAGGCACGGGTGAGAGAAATCAAGAGAGCTAGAGTGAAAGATCTCTTGTGAAAGAACTCTTGGGGTAGAGTGAGGCTCTTGGGAAAATTCTGTGAGTGGGTGTACAAGGGATATGGGATTGGGTTATGTCGATTTAACTCATGTGTAACTTGTACTGTTTTTCTCATAGTGAAGAACAATATCTCTCCGAGGACGTAGGCAGGTTTTTGCCAAACCTCGTAAATTTCTCGGTGTCTTTATTTCTTGTATTTTAAACTATTCAACTGTGGGTTTGTATGTTGGTGAAGATAATCAGCCAAGGCACAACAAAAGACAGACTCACATGACATATGAACAGACAGGTATTAGTTAAGCAACCACCGTGGATGACTCGACGACTACGACGTCCCTAGTAATTTAAACTAATTATGTGGCGACCTGTTAGTGCATGAATTTTCTAGTAGACTTTATACACATATATAATCTTGAATACAAGTCCCACATCGGAGAATTAAGAAAATATATAAGTGCATGGTTTACTTTTAATTACACTTAAGTTTTCTGTGATAAAACTTAGCACCTAGAAACAGGTGGCTAAGTTGATACAGTATCATTGTAGTTATGAGTGGGCCATTGGCTCATCTCTATGAATATTTGACATGGTATTGAGTGAGTATGATTGTGAGTCTTGTGGATCTGTGCCATGCCGGAGTTATCGAGTTTATTCATAACATTGTTCGTGTTGTGCCCAAGTTACTGAGTGTAATGTAACACCATGTTTCTGTGCTTAATGTCTGATGTGGGATTGATTGCACAAGTGGCCCATATGTGCGTGGTCCAAAATGAGAAAGCGTATTGAATATAAGTCTTACATCAGAAATTGAGAAAATAAAGTACAATATGTAAGTGTATGGTTCCACTTTTTAATTACACCGAAATTTTTTATAATAAAATTCAACACTTAACAATAAGTAGTTAAGACTTAAAACATAACAATAAGTGACTAAAAATGGATTGACCCGTCTCTTCGAATATCTAACAATTAATATGTGTGTTTGTTTATAAAAAATGTCAAGGCGTTCTTGAGAGCATTAATGCTGTCATAAAATAATGAGGCAATACCTGCCGGTGTTTTTGGTTAATGCAACGTCCTAATCATTGCTAACGTAGTCCATGACATATGTTGAATAAGAGCTAATAAAACTAAAATTATTCCCAGATGACTATTCTGTTGGTTTAGATGACTCCAGCTTTATTGAGACGTCAAACAACTTATCTCTTCAGTTTGCATAAGGTTGTCATTTGCCATATAATTTTAGTTTTCAATATATCTAAAATATCTTCACTTGGTGTTACTATTGATTTCACGCTTCAGTTTTTAGGTGAATGCTTGTTTTCGATGTAGGGGTTGAGAGCTATCTATTTTGCCACTACTTTGCCGCTCCAGATTTTTGATCCGATTAAAGATGTTTGTATACTCAGTAACTATGGTGTTGATTTTGCACAAGTTTGATTCAAATTCCACTCTATTAAATCAGTACTTTACGACCAGTTGGGAGCCGTGATAATATACTTGGGAAATTGGTGAAAGAAAACAACTAAATAGAAAAGGTTATGGATTGAGGACTTGAAAATCACACATGGATGGAAGTAGCCTATGGACTACACCCAATAGATTAACATTGTTATGGATTGCGATTCACATGTCTCTTTAATATTCCTTCATTTTAATTATAACACGTGAACTCATACACTATGTGTCTTGTATTTTTGTATTTCTAAAAGAAAAGAAAATTTAGGACCACTCCTATATTTAGTATCATAATCAAACCAAATAAGTGTAGCTAGTTGCTTACTTGATCGATCCCTTCATCCGGAGGAACGTGTTTGATTGATATAAAGTAATGCAAAGTTTGCCAACCGGCCGGTGACAACGGGAGAGATAGTGATGTAATATTGACAATTATTCATACTGCAACTTGTAGTATACTAGAATTAAAATGTTGCTTTTTTTTAATGAAACTTGTAGTTGTCTAGGTGTTATTTTAATTTGCTAAATTTAAAATAGTCCGATCACCAAGTCGCCTCATCTTAGTTTATGTATGTATCTTCTTAAACTTTTGATTAAATAAACTACAAAATTGAAATGTTGTTGTTTTTTTTTTATTTTTA